AAAGCACTTATTAGGGGAATAAATTATTCTGACTGAATTTCATGACTTGTTATAATGTGTCTTTTGACTTTGTGCTACCTTTTCCCCCTTCTTTGTCACTATATTATCCTCCCTATCCAGGTCTGGCTGGAGAAGGCTGTCCTCACAGAGAAGTGAGAAGTTCTTGGGCTCTCAAGGAATCAGCCTGATGGCAGCAGCCAGACCCGGTCACAGGGCTAGCACAGACTTGGAGGGCTGTTGGCGTTGGCCTGTAGTGCTCCCAGCCTTCAGCTACTACCATGCCATATTCTTTGGTATGTGCCCACCAGACACCCACCTATGGAATGCTCATGTTTTGCTCAAGTTGATTCACTTTAAAAACTATAAGTAGATTCCATCTACCTTGGCTTCCCTTGAGCAATTATAGCTGAAATCATTATACATATAATTATGTATACATTAATGCAAACAATTAAAATAAAAAATGTCATTTGTGTTCCACTAAAATGATCTAGTACCACCAGGAGCATATGTGTTAGGCATAAACATATGAAAGGAGAGGAGGAGAGATTTAGAAGGGTTTCAGGGAGGAGGTAGGGGGTCAAGTAAGTTCCCAGCAGTTGCATGCTCCCCTCGCTTAATGCATACAGGCAGCCTATCAGATGGATGAGCTTCTCTGTATTTTATTCTTGGGAAAAATGAGCATAGGAGGTGAGGCCAGGTACCCAAGATACACAAGTGGAGGAAGTGGCACTAGGACTGTACACAGCCTGGACTCACTCTGGTACTAGCCCATGCCACCCAGCTCTGGAGTTGGGGATGAAGGTGGGATGGGAGAGGGGAACACAGTGTGCAGATGTGGAGAATGAGGCACGGAATTGTCCCTGCCATGTTGCTCCAACAGTTGCTTGAGTTAAGGTAGCAAGGGAATAAGTTTGAGAGACATTAAAAAAAATATATATATTTAAATGTTACAAGTAAAGTCATAAATAAAGGAAAAATTTATAGATTATCCTACCTTCATAATACCACCACTGTTTGAATTTGGGGTTATTTCTTTATGGTTAAGGTCTCTTGGTCAGAGGGCTGAGGAAGGAGGTACAGTAAGGTGTGCAAAGAACTCAGGGCCTGGAACATCAGCTTAACTACTCAGTAAATGTCACTGATTGCCTTTATTGCATTTAGATTTTTTAAATTAAATTTGGTTCAGAGAAATATGATTATTTTATGAAAAATAAACTTTAATTTTTATGGCTCTTGGTAGATGTCACCATATTACTTCCAGTGCTGCGATCAGTAGTTGAAAATACCAGTTTCCTTAACTAGCTTTGGGTATTATATGTTTTAAATCTACTAATTATTAATAGGTCAATATAACATCTCAGGTTTTAAAAATTTTAACTTGTATTTCTTTGAGATATTTTTCAATGTTTGTTTTCTAATAGTAGCCCTATATAGTCTGTTAAATGTTCATGTACTTTGTTTATGTATTGGGATGTTAGTATTTTTAACCAGCTTATATAAGCTCATTATATAATAAGTACATTAACTCTTGAAAATCACATTTGCTACAAAATGCCTTTCTGAGTTTGTGGTCTTTTTCATATAAAAGTTTGTTTTTATAGGATCAAATCTTTTGGTTGCTTTGAGACTTCTTTCTCCTGTATAAACTTAAAAAGTTACTCTCTTCTAGAATTTTACTGAATACTTAATATTGTATTCTTTTCATTTTCTATCACTTAATTTTTATGTTGAACTTTGTCTGAAACTAATTTTGGTGTATGATATCTTAACTGTCTTAATTTTAGAACAGATTAAATCTGGAAGGGCTACTCATCCCTCATTTATTCTTTTTTCTCTAGCATTTCCTTTAACTCAAATTCAAATTAAAAAAAAAATCACTGTTTATTCTTCTTGAACAGTTATTTTGTAAAGATCCAAAAAGTTGTCCGGATTTTGATTTAGTATTGTATAAACTTACATGTTAATTTGGAAAAATTTGATGCTATTAAAATATTTAGTTCTCCCATTCAAGAATATTTCTCTACTTATTCAAGGCTTATATTCTCAGTGCAACTTTGTCTTATTTTCTTCCATATAAATCCCATGGATTTCATTGGTTTTAAAAAACTTGTTGTTAATTGAGAATGGCATCCTTTTACCATTAAATTTTCCAACTTTATTACTAAAACATAAGAAGACTATTGAGTTGTTTTTTTATATCTGCTCTTTATTAACTTGAATGGATGTCCTCTTGTTCTATTTGCATTTTAAGGTACACAATGATATTATTAGTAAATATGGACAATTTTGTCTTTTTCAACATTTATACTTCTTTTTTCTGTTTCCGGGCAGTGCTTTAAAAGCATTGGTAAATAATTATGGAGGGATGAAGATATGTTAAATAAGTCTTGGAGCAGTGTGTTTAGTATGGCACCTTCACTGCATTGAAAAATACAAATATATGTATATACACTGGTCTGACAGAGATACACAGAGTGTTTACAACAATTGTCTCTGAGTGGCAGAATTTGGTTGAATATCTACTTTCTGTTTGTCCGTATTTTCTAATTATTCTATGTAGATCATGTATCATTCGGGTAATTTAAAAGATAATGGCAATTTTAATGTCTTTATTGTGTCATTTTTAGATGGATTATGTTTGCTCTGTGTTGAAACAGCTATTCTTTATCTGCTAAGAATATTTTCTACCTTATTTTATTTTTTAATATTTTTATTTTTTAAATTAAAAAAGTTTTAATTAAGTTTATTGGGGTAACATTGGTTAATACAAATATATAATTTTCAGGTATACATTATCATTTGACATCTGTATATTCTATTGTGTATTTATCAGCCAAAGTCCAGTTTCCTTCAGCTACCATATATCTGACCCCCTTTATCCACTTCATCCTCCCCCAAACCCTATATTTGACCCCCTTTACCTCGTCTACCTCCCCTCACCTCCCCCACCCAACTAGTAACCACTAGTCTATAGTCCTCTGGTAACTACTAGTCTATAGTCCATGTCCATGAGTCTCCGTTTGTTTGTCCTACTCATTTGTTGCTTTTAGGTTTATATCCCACATGTAAGTGATATCATGTGATTTTCAACTTTTTCTGTCTGGCTTATTTTGCTTAGCATGATTATCTCGAGGTCCATCCATGCTGTCGCAAATGGCAGTCTATCTTATTTTTAAGAGTTCTTATTTGTTTTTAAATGAGAACTGGGTGTTGAATTTTGTCAATTTTTTTTTTTTTTGCCGCTATGAAGATGGTCATACGGTTTTTCTTTTTTGTAACTGAGGTATATTTTATATACAATAAAATGCACAGATCTTAGGTGTTCAGTTTGAAGTGTTTAGACATTTGTACATACTCATGTAACCACTACCCCAAACAAGAAATAGAACATTTCCACCACCCCAGAAAGTTCTAGAGGAAATTCTGTGGTAAGATGTTGATTCGTGTGGCTGAGTCTCCACCACCAGCCTTGTGCAGTCTCGATTTCTCATCTCTAGCCTGTTTAACATCTTGAGGGCCTGGAGCCACATGGGAGATCCCTCTCAAGTTGTTCATCAGACCATGCATATGGCAGAAGGAAGCCAGATTCTCTGCAGGACAAGTGGCCATGGGGTGGGGGAGATAAAGCAGTATTCTAGGATGTGAAGAGGGCAACGGCAGTAGCTTGAAGCTTTTAGTGGCCTTGCCTAAGAAAGAGTCTATAGCGAAACTGTTTCTAGGCACCACACCCTGATGCAGGGAAGTGAAGAGAGGAGGTGTGGTGGATGCAGGATCTCCGACACTGCCATAACCATGGGATTTCGGCTGCAGGTCCCATGTCTTATGCTCATTCCTTGATAAAGTCAGATGCCACCTTCTGGAACATTCTCTCCTTGAGCATCTTTGCCTTTGGCTGGGTGGCTAGCTTGTACTACATTGTCCTATAGGGAGCTTGCTATCTCAAGATACTCAAGGTTACTACCCTCAGTCACCTTGAACTCGAGGTCACTATTACCCTGCCCCAATGTCGTTGCATTCTTTTTGTAGATTCCCAGTCTCTGTGGCAACTGTTCATGGAATGATACCTAGTGTTATTTATTCAGCTAATCGTATTATAGTAAACTGGGAAAAATACAGAAATACATGTTTCTATTCATTTCTACCTGCTTAATACTGGCATGGCATGTTTTCAATGCCATGAAGTGCAGCAAATGAGCTTCATGGTGGCATTACACTTTTGGTGTTTTCTACATCAAAGGTGAGAAGTCTGCAGAAAGATGACTTGGGATTCCCTGAATCAAAAGGCCAGGGGCGCAATTTCTTATGTCTGAATGTGATCTAGATTCATATATATTTTTCGTAGGGTGAAGTTTATTTGAGTAAAGCAATTAGTTGCTCCTAGTTTATGTTTCCTTAATATGGATCTTCTTAGCATGAGCCGTGACCACATTCAGGCCGGGCTATCTCTGGGAGTGTGCGTGTTTCAAGAGATGCAAGTGTAGGTGTCTGCAGTCACCATGGTTCTTTGCTTGGGCAGAGCCTAGGACAAGTGCAGGGAAGAGAAGGTGTAAACTAGGTTATCGAGGCACACAATGGGCTGCATCCCAGACTCCAGCCAGAGACCAAAGCAAACCTCCCAACACCAAGGGCAGCAAGCTTCCTCCGGAGGCTTTCTACGCAAGTGTCAAACAAGGTACATGTTTCCCATGCTGGGCACCTACACCACTCAAATCAATTTAGACTTCTATTTCTAGGAGCTATCACTACTTGGGTTTTTTTTTAAACCTGAAGCTATTTTAAATCTGTACCCAAATGCAAGCAACTAAGATTGAACAGTTTTTGTTGCACTGTCTGCACCAGCCATACTGAACGCGGAGACTGCTAGGGTGGGCCCTGGGAGTCTGGGAGCTGCCCTCTGCCCCTGGTCTTTGTGGGAGGGAGAAGAACTCCCTTTCCCTCTAAACCTTGTGTGGTTTATCCCCAAGTTGTTTGGCCTGCAATCTGAGAAGACAACTGCCTTTTCGTGTTTTATACATTTTATTCATACATTTCTCCAACTTTGAAATGACAAAAGCCCAATCCTATGGTTTCCCATTACACAGCATCCTACAAGTATGTATATTCTACAAAGAATACTATGGAGTTTCTCTTCCTCCCCTGTCACACAAGAGATAACTGATTAGGGTTCCATCAACTTGTACTGTACTGGCAATGCACCAGTGTTCTGATAGTTCTGGCGACAGGGCAAAGGGATCATGGCGGGAGAGCGTGTGCTAAGGCATGTAAATAGATACACACACAGAGAAAGAAAAGCGGGACATTTACAGAGAATCCAAACCTTTCTGATCCCTTCACCTCCTGGGTGTTGAAGAACACCTCCTGCACAAACGCTCTTGCACGCTAAGGCTTTGCTGTACCCTGCAAATACTTACAATTTGATACGGTGAAATATACAACAACCATTAACATCGCTCTCTTTTTATCACTGAGACAATACTTCAAAACCTTTTATAAAAAGGCAATTATAAATACAGAAAAAAGAACACGTTGGCAAAATTTTATGCAAAACAACCCCAGAACTGAGTTTGAATGGCGACGCGCCTGCATTGCAATTAAACATGATGCTCTGGTCTGAGCATGTGAGGCTCATGTGGCCTTCGCATCAGTCACCCTGCCTGCTGCCCCCACAGTTTCCCCACCTGCCTGCATAAGTGCCATTCCAGGATACAGCTGAGACTGGAAATTAATTCCCCCGATTCTTGGTCTCTTAAAAAACAAAATGGGCCACTCACTGTGGAGGAATGTCTATTTCTACTCCCAAGCAGAACTCCTTTTAAGAGATGGCATGTGCTCTGGGTCCCGAGATGGTCACCCCCAGGCCTCTGTTGGTGAGAACACTGACACGTTCCCTTCGTCTTGTGCCAGAGAGAATGGAGCTAACACATACGTGGCAGTGAAATTCTGAGTTTCTGAGCATACGTAGATATGGAGTTGTGCTTGGGGCCAGAAACGAGGTCTCCTGTGTGGTGACAAACATCTCTTTCCATTTTCTTTTGCTTGGTCCATTTGCACAGGTTCAAGAGAGTTGATGGAGGGTCAGGTGAAAGGTGGTGGGAGCTCTGGCTCTTCAACTCCTCCCCGAAGACCTAAGACTTGGCAGTGCCTTTCTTAGAGATGGCATGACCCTCCTCCTCCTCTCTCTGTGGGCTGGGTCTGCAGCCCAAGAGTGGCAGAGAAAAGACCAGATAAAAGGGATGTGGACTGATGAACATACTCTCCTCCCTCTTTTCCACTTCCTGGACACGTGTCACAGCTAAACTTCACTCGCTAACCTAGAAGACCTGAGACTTCCAATTGCTCCATGTTTAAGGCAAACTGACAAGTAAGTGTGGGCAAAGCCAATCAAGCATTAAGCCTTATGGGCATAGTCTTGTAATTGAGGACACCAAATGGAGAAGAAAACCTTACTTTGAAAGGGGTAAGAGAAAAGCTCTACCAAATGAAATGATTCACGATTAAAACTTTTAGCCCTTGTGTAAACTGCAGTGGGAAGCAAAATATCTTTCTAAGAGGAGAATTAATTAGAGGCGCAGAACAAGAGAAAAGTACTCAGGGACCTTTAACTTATGACATGCTGTAATCAGCCTCAGTATCATAAGCCCTTGTAAAGAGGATGGAATTAGGAGGCCATGCTCAGTTCTGGAAAAACAAACCCTTCCCTGCCCCCCAACACACCAGTTTGATGATAAGAAACAAGAAGGAGGAAGGCAGGAGGTCCTTAAAGGGCTTGTTTTGGAATGCCAATTGCAAGGTGCCTTTTCCTTTTTTCCAAGGAGACAGCATGGGAGGCATTATAATTGAGAATTTATTAATCAAGAAATTTTTTTGCTAGCTTTAGCAGCAGGTTCTCTCTGCGAGTTGAAACTGACCTGAAATGACGAAAAGGACATCACATTAGTGGAAGACAAGAGACTTTGCTTTGGCCACCTGTCCTTAAGGGACAGTGTTCAGTTTGGGCATCTCCTCTGTCCTATTTCTCCAAAAGTGGCTCAAATGGCTACACTTTTTCAAGGAATGAACTCAAAAGCCTTAATGAACAGATAACTACAAGCAATTTAAAAACAAAGACCCTCTTCTGCAGTAATGAGATTGAAGGCTTTAAAAGGACCATCGTAGCACTGAGTCCAGGCTTGACTGGCTGGCCCCAGCAGTGGGAGATGGAATTGAACTTGGGGAAGAGGAGCGCTTGCTGCCTCCCTCAATGCAGTGAAGGCTTTGCAGCATCTTTAGATATTCTGCCACCAATAGGATGGGCTCAGAAGAGCCTTCTGAATGCAAATAGCGAGAAGTGTGCCATCTATTTCTTTTCCTCTCTGAGCAAATATTTCAAACCATCTCACCTGACAGGGGATACATTTAATTGCATTTTAAAGGGCTACCATATCATGTTGACTCTGAAAAACTTCCAGATGAATTGAAATTTTCCTTTTTAGCATTAACATTGAATGCACTGCATGAGCAAAGTAATTACAGCCTTATGCTTAGAAAATCTGGACATTTATTTTAAACAAATAATTCAACATATTGAAAACATCCCCTTTTTTTGCTATGGGGAGTGGGGTTTGGGTGGAGTTGAGAACCCTCAGAATGTGGCTCATTTAACCAGTTCTTAGATTTAATAATCTAATCATTTGCTCTGGCATTTAAAAGGAAAACAAAAGATGGTTTTCCTGCTAGAATGAAAGAAATAAAGCTTTTCAGTATTTTTCTCTGATTGCTAAGTGGACAACTGTAACGTAGTGGCAGCAGCAATGTACTGAAATTACTCTGAATTCAGATATTTAAGTATTTTCTGCTAGGTCATAAAGACACTGCTTTAGAGAAGATGTTTATTAGTGGAATGGAACAGATGACCTCTTTGAGAAGTCAGACAGTTCTGGGTGCAAGACTTCTGGCATCTGCACAATGGCAAAAGCAATGCCTGCCTGTGTGCTTCCCCAAAGATGCATAAAGCAATCGGGAAGAGAGAACTGGAGCTACAATGCTTCTCAATTCTGGGGTCGCAGACATTTAAATTGGCATTGCTCTGCTTGATCCATGTTTATCAACACAGTGGATGGCTTAAGCCAGGCATCCTCAGCATCTCTGGAGATTTGGTCTAAAAGGGCATGTTGGGGCATGAGGGTTTCCACCAGAGGGAGGGTGTTTCTGTTCCCCATGTATTAGCTGTACTTTTCTTTGTGCTTCACTGGAAAAGAGGTAGAGTGGGCCCTTTCACAATGAGAAGAGCCTGGATTGTGGTGAGTACAATCACGGGAATGATTTTCTGGCCCTGGCATCAGATTTGAATCAATCCTAACACAGACCTAACAATTCTTGAGGTTTCCCTCTCCGTCTAGGGTGTCTCTGGTTTGGTGGTACGGTCACCCTGCTGTGGAGCCCCAACAGAAGCAGTTCATTCAACATTTTGTTAGCAAGTTGCAGATTCATCTGGTCACTGACTAAAGACAACATTAGAGAAAAAACTCAGTATCATTTAATAAGAGTATGTGTGTGTGTGTGTGTGGGGGGGGGAATGACACTGTAAAAGGAGTATACAAATGTCTTCTCCGTGCGGTCCTTCAGGAGGAGCTGTACAGCTCAGAACGCACCCTGCACATCCTGCCAAGGCACAAAGAGATGAGGCCATCTAACTAACAAGAAGCAAACACGATGGTATTTTTTCAAGGATCACAGGTTAATAGAACCACTTCACACACCCTGACACTCTAATGAAAAACCTTCCACTGACCTCTGGCGAAGAGTCAGAAAACGCCCAGCCTGAGTCTCCTATATTGGAAGGATGTGACTTCATGGAAGGGTGATGAGATGGTAAATGTTCTAAAGCAACAAGGAAAGGTGATTCTCCTGTGCCAAGGGATATAGCAAGAGGAAGGAAAAACCACAGATGGCCTCTAGTACTTTGGTGGCCCTTGGGTGCACTGTGTGTATGCTCTGGGAGCCAGGCTTGGTTTGAGCTGTGCTCTGGCAGAGTATTTTGTTGTCCTGCCAACTGATAGTCATTCCTGGGCCTTTGATGGTTCAATGAACATTTAATGGATTCTAAAATGTAAAAGATTATCGGCTTGTAAACCTGAACAAATCTATAATAAAATGAAGGACCCAAAAGCATTTAATTATTGAACACATAAAAGGAAGTATATTTAAAAAGAATTGGTCAAATTGTCCTGTTAGTTATCATTTTAAAGGAATTTACAGGGCTGTTATAGATTATTCTTTTGGAGTAATTCAGTTTATAGCAAATGTCTAAACTGGTTTCTTCATTGCACAGTATATTCTCTTAAAATGGGTGCTTTAAAACAATTACATACATATTAAAAATCATCATTTCTTTGCTTAATTAAAACGTTAATACTCTCAGACAACACAGATCTGAAATGGTGAAACCAGCAATTCCCCCTCCCACCTTACAACAAATTAAATTGAGACAAAATTACAAACACATTTCACTACATGATTATTATTAATAAAAATCAGTTGTTTTTTTTTTTTTTATAAAGTTGCCCGAAATGCAAGGGATGTGCATAGGTTTACAACTTAGTCATAATAGCATTTTATTCTTATTCCCCTGGGTGTGCCCCATGAACGGAATGTACTTGGCTGTAGATTACAGATCGTTTTGTCCAACACAGACACACCGACAGTATAAACGCTCGCGACTGTCCACATGCATTAAGAGTCAAGACCCAACTTCAAATCTCTAAAAGGTTTACAGGGTGCTTCAAAGAGACAGTATCACATTATCTGGATGTTACATAAAGGACTTAAAAAAAATACTATTCTAAAAAAAAAGAGAGAAAAAAGGCCTTTAAAAATTTATGACTGTTTTGTAATCACTAGACTGATTATTTCAAATAAATAAAGGAAAGAAAGATATTCCAATCCATAAAATCAGACTCTAAAAAGAATGTAGTGTTCCACCCCCACTCAAGGTAACAGAATCATTGTTTATTATTATTAAAATAGATTATAGAAAGCAGCATCTATTTTGTGCAGTTTTTAGGGGCCTTGGAAATAAAAAGCTATGATTTCCAAAAATATAACATTCCAAAGGATTGAATAATACATACATTTAAAGATACATTTTATTAAAGTTTAGGAGAACTGATTAAAAAAGATACTGTCTCTTTAAATTAGTGTGTAATTGTTTTTCTCCTCCTACCTATTCGGACATGACAATAATTATAAATGTAGGTCACACTACAACTAGGTAGTCTCTAGGGACCACGACCTGCTGACACAAGGTCGATAACAAAGAGGCGTTTCCATGTATGAGGTGGCTCCCAGTTATACGTCAGATATCTGGGGAGAGGCCTAATAGACCCAGGAGACTGGGACCCACTGCGGGGCTGTGCACACGAGCTCGACGGCTTCCTCTAGATGTCTGATTGTCTCATCAATTTCATTGTTGATAATTGTGAGATCAAAGTAGTGTGCATATGTTCTCTGTAAGATATCAGACTCCTTCTGCAGACGCTGAAGAGATTCATCCTAAATGGTGATGGGATGGAGGTAGGGGTGGGCATGGGAGAAGGGAAAAGCAAAGAGGAGAGAGAAGTCAGCTGCATTCTTTCTTTTCACTTTTCTGTTCGTCCCAGTGTCAGAAACAGTCAAGGCCAGACCTTGATGTGCCACATATGGGCATGAAGCCAAGTCCACTTCGTGACAGAGGAGACAATGGTTCTGGGGATGACGGGGTTACAGAACTATTGCTTGCAACCCAGACTGCTCACCATGCAACAGGGAGCTCCATATCAAACCAGACAGACCAGAGAAAACATAGATTCTTTAGCAAACACATTGCCCTACCGGGCCTAGCTCTGCTTGTCCCGGGGTCAGTTAGAGACTGACTAGCATAGCCTGAGCTGTTTCTGTCCTCATTCTTCTAACCCAGGTCCGCCTCATCCCCAGCCACTGTCCAGTTTGGTGGGAGGGCTTTGGTGGCGAGGTCAGAGCTCTGCCTCTACCTTCTCTTGGTTCTCTGCAGTCACTTGCACCGGGCCCCAGAGCCCAGCTGCATTTGCACCAAGAAGCCCTGGCCTCTGGACAACAAATTCAGTTGTATTTTTCTCTTTTCTACTTAGAGGTTCAACATGTTCCAGGAATTCAATTACATATAATGGCCCTTGTTCAATAGCAGTGGATGCCAGAGGCAAAAGCTTTTTGGATGTTACAAATAATGGATGAAATAAGGCCATTTCCCAGATACAATAGCAACTGGCATCTGATAAATCCCCTCAAATTAGTCTGGATTGGAAATGGCCAAATGTCACTGTTCATAAGTATCCACATCTCTTAGGGAAAACACTGAAGAAAAGTAGCCAATGAACTCTAGGGAGCTGTACTGCAGTAAAGGACTTTCCTCAACCCCCATCGCTTGCTACAGATTTTGAGAACTCTCACCAAGGTGAGCCCACAGTAGGAGGGAATTCTGGGTCCCTAGTTTGTCATGGGAGTGTAACTTTAGCCTCAGGATGGCAGTTTTTTTAAGAAAGAGATCTCTTTAATCTGCCTCTGCATTTTCATGGGTCAAATCATGTTATGGACAAGTTCAAATTTGAAACCAGAGAACTTTGTAAGTCAAATTAATTGCCCCCCACTCCCCTAACACTAGGTAGGGGAGCTATTGGGCTAAGGCTTAAATACACACACACACACACACACACACACACACACACACACACACACAATTCAATATCTGTTTATTTGATTAGGATCTCTCTCCCCAGCTAGAGTGTAAACTTGTCTTGTGTGCCCTGTTGCCGCTGTGGCCAGCACTTGGCATTGTACCTTGTACAAAGGAAGTTCTTAATAAACGTTATTGAAAGAACAAGCACTTGGCTGACTAATGCTGGCCATAACAGGATTTGATGAGTGTTAAATCTATAATCAAGAGACAGAGCAATTCTACTAGGAAATGGGGGCCCATGATAACAGAGACAGATCTCCAGAAAAACTAAAAATGTGGTGCTTTCAGGGACTTGGGAGCCACGGTACCCAGTGCTGGCTTGGGATCTGTGGCACCCAGCGCCAGCTTGGGACCCTTCCTCTTCTCTGAGGCTCATCTGTTATTTGTAAGAAATCCTTTCTGATGTGCCTGTGGGTGTAACTCTTTGGAAAGGGGATCCAAAGCGACATGTGATTAATTCTATCATGGCACCACAGTGGGGATGGACAGACAGGGAAGTTGGGAACTCAATGAGATTGTCTTACCTGTTTTGTCATCTCCTACCGGAATTTCAAAGCAGGACATGGCATGCTTTAGATGTTAGGTGTTTACTACAGTGTCGATAAGACCTCAGTTAATCATCACCTTCTAAGATCATATCAATATACTTTCTGCTTGCACTTAAAAAGCATAGTATTTTCACTGTGGCTTTACAATAAACACAATGAAAAAGCTGCATTTTAGGAAACATGCATTCACCCAAAGACAGGAGTGCTTCCTACCAGTATGGGAAGGAACAATTCCTATCATGACATTCTCTGGGCTACGGGATTCTACTGGAATATTCATTCCTGGACTTCAAAAACCACTAGGAGAGTTTATGATTTTCCCAGAAAGCTGGACTGATGAAAACATTCAAGAAAATTTATGGCCGAGAGCATCAAATTTTTAATGTAGTTCTCTTTACAGAAAAATAAAGCTTCCTCTTAAGGATCTTACAAGATGAAGCTATATTTGTCAGTTTCCTCCTCGACAACAGCTTGTCTGCAGGCTTGTCTTACACGCAAGCAGGATTTAACTCAGTGAAAACAAAATGCCTTCATTCTAACAGCAAAAGCAAGGATTTGTGGGAACAAAATGTCTACATTCTAAATCTATGAAAGTAAACAAGGTTGTATTTCATCACCTCCTAGCTGGTACTTACAGGCAATTTTCTGCACCATTTTGGCAGCTATGGAAAATTAGTAAAAGGGCAGGAAAACAGGCAAAAAGAAAAACAAAAAACACACAAAGCAAAGATGATAATTCAAGAAAAATACATGTCAACCAAAGGATAAGCGCTAACCATAACGTAGAGTTTCAAACATATTTGTGTATTAAATAAGATAAAAAAAAATAGAATTTACAAAAGAATATCCCTTTTGCAGATAAAATGACAAAAAATAATGACTGAAAATATAAGTGATACAGAAATATAAATATTTAGTCTTCCTTAAAGGTACACAAAGTAAAAATTTCCAAGTCTTGATTTTTATTGCCATAAGCTCGGGTGTTTAGGCCAGTGTTTACTGAACAGAGCCAAGAACTCTCTGGTGGTTTCTAGATCCTGCAGAAGTAATGGTCTTCAGGATAACTTTATGTATTAGTCTCTTCTTAAGAATGGCCCTACAGCAGATAAGAACCAAGTACCAATACATACTACACCATAACTACCTACCTTCTTATCTGCCCAGCAATAGAAGGCCTTATAAGTCAGCCTGGTAGGAGATGTGTGCAGCCAACTCTCGCAGTCACCATCTCTGTGGCAGTTGCTGACTTGAGTTAGCTTAATAGGGGACAGAGCTCATTCCTAGGTTTGGTAGTCCAGGGGTCTAGATAGAAATTCTGCATTGGTTCCACTCCAGAGGCTGACCAGGGGGCCGAGGGTTGCCTTGCCAAGGTCATGAATTCCTTAATAGCTCTCTTCAGGCAAAGCAATCCTTGACCCAGAGGTGGGCCTGGGGTTGCTGCTTTCTTAGCACAGTCCTTATCGGGAGAGGAATGGGCTGGCAGCTCTGGAGGGCAGGAGCCACCAGGAAAGCCTCTGCCCTGGAGGGGTGAAGGTTTTTAAACTTTAAAAGTAGACTTATTGATTAGAACACAGGCTGACTGTGCTGGAGACTTGAGTTTGCCTAATGACTCTGATCTAAGCCCTATTACTGAAAGAGGACCTCAAACTCTGGAAATCTTAATGGCCAGTGTCAAGAACAAAGCAGAGCTCCACTTAGTTGTCTTAATGAGGTGGGGCTTTAGTCTTGAATATACAACACAAATAGATCTTTACTATGGGTGGGTGTGCTAATTTGGGAAAAATTGATCAATTCTTACCTCATTCAAACCTGGAGTAATAGTTGGTGCAGCAATAAAAACAACAAAAGGAGCAAACTCGGCAGTTCTCAGGACCTTCAGTGCCTGTGTAAAAAAAAATTTGAGACTTAGAAGAAATAAGTAATGCAACTTTCAAATGAGTCTACAAAAATTTACACAACTGAAAAAGCCCTTGATTCAAATTTTTGGTAAGGTGTTATTAAATTTACCAACTTTAAAAATAACTTACATTCTCCTTTTCTTCCAAAGGATAGACAATAGCCATCAGCAAATAAAAGGTGACAAACTGGACATTTTTTTTATGCATCTCATGAATCAATCTGACTTATTTTTCTTCGGAAAAGTTAACACTGATTATGTTGGTTAATGTTCATTTAAACCTGGTTATTAATTGTAGCCTGAGTTTCAATTTATAAGAAATGCGTTTTGGGGTAGATTGGGACCAGCGGGTTGGCTTACCATCGATCTAGAGTCCATTTCACATTTCAAATTTCAAATTGCTAACAAGGATTAGCAAATCCCGGCCACTGTCACTGTGAAGTTATGTTCACAGTTTATGAGTTGCCCTGATAAATATACCTGCGGGCTCATGGGGAAGGGAGACCCTGTCCTGGGTTGGAGTCTGGAGCCACTAAAGGAGCTGTATAGCTGTGAGCAATTCATAGGCACAGGAGAAGACACTGCATTCAAGGGAGAGGGGCCTCTGAAGCCTCTTTCAGTTCCTTGTGCAGGCATCAAAAACCTCTAACTATGCAAACTACGATTTGCATGGATATAGTACAAAGCTGACATATCTGATGGTGTAGCAGTTGATTCTGATAAGAGATTGCTACTTCAGTTCCTCCCCATGAGGACATGACATTCCTAGAGGTTACAAACTCTCCTCTATGGAACAAAACTCAACATATACACATATACAGGCACACAATTCACAAGTACTGACATGTAATGAATTTGTATGCATCAGTGGTAAAAATCTTGCTGCCCTTTATACCAGAAGTTAACATTTCTATTCTGTAATCCACATATTTTGCTTTCTAAATGGTCTTTTAATTGTTTGCTTTTCCCTATTCCTATTCCTCTTTTTATTTGCCTGGTTTATTGTAGTAGCAATTAGACTGGTCATTCTGCCTCCAGTTTTGCTTTGTTCCAATCCATACCAAAACCTGCCACTAGAATGATCTTTTGGAAATGCAAATCCCAACATGTCACTCATCTGCTTCAAACCCTTCAACAGCTCCTTGTTGGCCCTGGGGAAAAATGTGCACTCCTTAGCATTAACGCCAGATCCCTCCCTCACGAGCTGACCTCATCAGCTTCTCTCTGCCCCTCCTAGGACTGGGCCTTGCAGAGCTACTTTCAGTTCCAATAAGGGACAAGCTCTCTCTGGCTTCCTGGACTTTTTTTCTTACTATTCCCTCTGCCTGGATCCTCCATCTCCTCATCCCTGTCCCCACTCTCCCTTCTGCTTGGCTGAGTGTTTATTGAACAGAGAACTGATGTTCTTTTCTCTGGAAAGTCCTATGTGAGCTCTGAGCCGAGGATAGGCACTCCTTTCATATGCTTCTGACACACTTGCATGTATGCACTTGTAGTATCCATCACACTGAAAACGCAAGTGCTCAGATACTGGAGGGTAAGCCTCTTGAAGGCAGGGGGCTGCATCTTGTTGTCTCCCTCGTGCCCAAAATGGCACCTGGAATAAATTGTCTTTATGATAAAATGAAATGTAAGGTAGTACATATAATTTGCACAAAATCTATCTTGCCTTTTGAGGCTGCTTTGACAAGAAGGCGCTATGCTTTCATGGCTGAAGGGAATCTCGACCTCTACGAATATATAGGCACATAAGAGGTAAATTGGATAGTAGAGATTTTGATTTTTTCAGTGGAAATTCACTTTCATTAGTATTCTATTTCTGAATTTTAGTTACACAGAATCTCCTTGTGGGTTAAGGGAATCTGGTACATTGTTTTACTTGTCCATCAAAGTGCTTTAATTGTGAAAGCCACAGGCTCAGATTCCCCTTGTGAAAAAGTTCTTCAAGCTTGTCTATGTTCATGTTTGAAAGAGGTAATTGGCAATTTCTCTGCCAACCCTTTTGTGACCGAAGATTTTAGCAAGGAACAAACATCACGAAAAAATCCATATGTAGCTCAATCGAGCTTAACAGGAATATCCCCTTAGAAAGGTCTTTTTTGTCAATATTATCTTGGGCCTTTTCTTCAGTCCTTCCTGTGCTTGTAAGTCAGGTGACTACAGGTCAGTTGAGACATAAGGTTTCCTCCTCACCCCACACCTACCCACAGCCAGCTTCTGGGCAACCGAGATGGGGAAAAAAATCCTAATGCACAGTTCCAACTCTTGCTTTTATTCCTGAAACTACTCTGATTGCCAGATGGAACTCCACACAGTCTAGATGCTGAATGGATCCTATGGATGATGTCAAGAATGACACCCTAGGCATGAAATGGTCTTTGCTCAGTGACCCTAGCCTGAGAGCCACCCAATTCTTTGAATATTCTAAGTTATAGCCTGCTACCATATTACCACACCAGAGAATACACTACTCAGAAAACATTAGCTCCCTGCCGATACCCTTCTCTGAACTGTATGCACACCCTTCGTCTTTATCCATAAAGACATGAAGGTCATTCTGCACTTGCTGCATGAAACTGTCAGTGAAGATTGTACTCATCACACTGATGAATGCCTCTTGTGCCTAAGAATCAGGTTATATTGTTTTAGCAACTAATTCCAAGGAAAGAGCTGGCATACTTCTATTAGGTGAGAATTATTTGATCCATGACATTCCCCTTTTTGTCCTGGTTGCTAGGAAGTTTAGAGCTAAATTTCATGTTTATCATGGTAACTACTGTAGGCTTGCTTTATTTGGTTAGCATATTTGCATCTGTTTCCTCTTCTTTGGCTTTAATTCTCTATTTCTATCCTATATTATTATATTTTCAAATAGTATAATATGCCTTGAATCTTGACTGAGATTTTCTTGTCTAGTTGCCCTTATATTTTCATCAGAGTCACCACACTTTTCCTCAGTTGTTCTTGAAGGTCTCTGCCCCATCCTCTGCTTTACTTATGGGTCTCAAGTGGGTGCCATTTTTGTGCAGTCTCAGCTTGCCTGAGGTTCAGGGTCACTTCAGGGATTTACAAGGATTTCCCTCTCTGAGGCCATTAATAAGTGACCTTAAGATATATCTCTAAATATTTTTCCTTTCTGACTTAAGAGGAGACACAAATTTGTTAATATTTATATGCAAATATCTATTTTCTGAATCCCAGGGAGGAGAGAAAGTCTAGAAAGATCACCGAAAATATGCTGGATACAAACAGCCAAAGTAATGTTAATTTAACATTGAAAGTTCATTTTTTAGTTCTCTTTTGGGGAGATAAATTGATTTTATGGCTCATATATAGTCAATAATTAATCTCAGGTTACCATCTTCAAGGAATAAAAGCCCATTTGACCAAGTATCTAAGATGCAGATATATTTAAGCTTAACTTATTTGGTTTGCAAACTTCAAAAGTTCATGATGTCAAGCACATGAGTCATTCTGTATGAAAATCTAAGGGTTTAAAGAAGAGCACAGCGACCCCTGAAACAATCTTAAGAGAGCTAACTGATTCCATAAAATAGCCCCTGGCTCAGAACCTGGTTCTTGTTTTGAAGCACAGATTCCCAACAAGACTGTAGCTATACCTTGATGACAACCTTTCTCTATGTGGGCAAAAGCAAAATCACAAATATTCTGCTCCTCTTAACTTTTCAATGCAACAAATGGGTAAGTCAGAATAAAAATAAAATTTAAAACCATCACAGTAAGTTTTGATTATACACTGGAGCACTTATAGTTTCAGCTTAAGGACGTAGATTATTTTCTGAGCCATGGCCTTATTTCAATTAGAAATAAGTTCCACCGTTTTTCTCAGGTTTGACTGCCTTCTAGATTTTTCTAAATGTAAACAAACAAACAAACCCAGATTTAAAATGTACCACTACATACAAGGTGGACCAGCATAAAGATTCTCAGGGTTAACTCCTCTAGGATAACACAGTGAAAGGAGGCTGGGATTATTGTAAAAAACCTAAAACCCATACCAACCCTGTTCAAGTACAAATCTCATTTTCAATTGGCTGTAAAACCTTGGTCAAGTTATAATTACGTTAAGCCTTGGTTTCTTTATCTACAAAAGTAGATCCTGATATCTTTAATCTCAGAGTTACAAAGATTAGGTAAGGAGTGCTAATGCTTGGCAAAATATAGAGCACTATAGGAACACAATCCATTATTATTATTTCAAAAGAAGCCAGGTTACAAATTTTCTTCTAGTTTAATGTCTTTATTATGGTCCTCTAGGTTTAAAGTTGGACCATAATGTCTTATCATACAGTATTATTAGACATGTGTTCAATTTGGCCTGAACCGTCTTAAAATAAGATGGCACAGAGTATTAGACCTGAACTAAAGGAGCTGAACACCAGTGTTAGGTCTATGATCCACATGTAGTAGAAGTGGTATCGGCAGTGGTATAAGTGAGAGGGTTTTAAAAAAAGATCACATGGCATTTCTCTTGTTATGGACAGCTTGTGATGTACATAGAGGAAGGAATTTCATCCTCACCAGCTTGCCTTCTTATTCGTATTCTTAGCTCTTGGCACAAGGCTTGGAATATAGTAAGTGCTTAATACAAGCTGGTTGAATCAAACTGTCCATGAGATACAGTAAAAAGGGTAACCTAACAGGCTGGGGTGAAGGAAAAGGGTGTAGAGAAAAATGTCCTAAGGAGAGAGCCTGTCTTCAACGAGGCTCTGCCTGACATCAAGTCAGTCATGGCCAGAGGCATCCTGAAGGCAGGATGTGGGCCTTGCTGAGCCTGGGGAGAGAGTAGGCTAAAGATAGAGAAGCCCCAGGGTGAAGCCCAGGAAGTGCAGACTCTGTAGGCGGCTATACCATTGGATGCAACAGTCAGCGTGAGAGCAGGACAGGGCATGAGTCTAGACTGGGCACATGTGGCCCCAGGTGGGAGAGCCTGGGACCAGAGTGGTCAACCAGATCAATGAGAGGAGCAGGACCTGAGTGATCTCTGTCCCTAGGGCCATGGGTCCAGAGAGGCTCAGGCAGAGAACAGGATGCCTATGGCCTGCCCTCAGGGCTGGGTGGCTCGGAGAGATCATGGTTCTAAGAGGTGGGTATACGGAAAGCAGGAGAGAAGAATGCCGTGAGCTCATCCAGCAGTGACAGGGAGCAGGGAAAGTGCCCAGCCCAGGGCGAGAGGTGCTCTGGTGCTCAATACCACACATAAAAGTGACTGCTGTGGATGTCCTGATAAGGCTGAGAGAAGTGTCTTCCACTGAGCAGTGCAGAGCAATGCATAACTGTGCAAGGGCAAGGGCACAGGGAGAGCTGGACGCTAGGAGTGGAGCGGCAGCAGCAGCAGCAACAATAGCAGCAGTGGTGGCGGCAGCAGCGGCAGCAGCAGCAGGTAAGGCAGAAAGCCCTCAAAAGTGGACTTAGGTAATGCAGAGGGGGTCTGAGGAGCCCTGCAGCCAGCATACTGCTAGAGACATTACTACCAGCAGAAAACGACGTTCAGGTGAAGACCAGTGTGGAACCCAAGGAGAGGATGTCGAAGACCAGGACCAGGATTGAGACTTTGCCTCTAGCCACCCCTGGCCAGAAGATTTTTCCAATCCCTAGTAAGGAGGGATTAGTAGTTAAACAAAAATCAATCTGCGTTACACATCATATATTTAGTTCTATATAGGCCCAAGTTAATTGTTAAGTAAACTGTATAGTGTTCATCCTACTGGTGTTTCCTTCCCAGCCCCTTAACCAGATTCTGAGTTCAAGAAGCCCATCAGGTGCTGTGAAATGGAAATGGGTGAACCCACTGGCCATAATGTTAGGATCTTGGAGTGGAGTAACTGAGCTGTTAGGCCGCAGGTCACACTGACCCTGGCTATGCAGGTTCCATCCTCCCTTTGGGGATGGCTAGGGGACCAAGTCTCATAAAGTGGCCCTGAGCAAGGATCTTCCCTGCCTGGGATAGATAGGTAAGCCCCCTGATGAAATGGAGCCTGCTTGAGGGGAACTGGTCTACCATTTCAGCAGGTGGCATGCTGGTTCTAAGTGATAAGGAATTTTTGGTACAGATGGGTCTTAGAAATGGCAGGCCTGGGAGTCATGGGCCACACACAAGCCTCTCCTGTAACCTGCCCTGATGTTTACAACTCTCGAATCTTTCCCATTGGGCTTTAAGCCCTACTTCTGCTTAGTTTGTTCTTAGAGATGAAAAAATAGCTTGTCTGCCTTTTTGATGTAAAGGACTTTGACTTTCTCCTTTGCAAGTTTAATAATTCCTATAGCTTCGAGTGTAGGACTCATCTACAAATCATCTAATCACCTCTGCATCTGGATCTCTGAGTCTTCTCCAAGTTCTCCATATCCCTCTTAGTTTTAGCTCAGGGTCAGGCATTGTCTTCAGTAAAGAGATGGCAGAGGCTGACAACTACCATGGGGCTCCATCCTGGCTCCACTGGACACCTCGCCCCCCAGCCTTACTTACGCTTGCTTTCATAAAGCTAGTGCTCTGTTTCAGACTGAGGCCCCAGGATCAAAGTTTTTCACTGAAGATTAACATAAGATGCTGGCAGAGACTCTGATGGTCCAGCATGAACTGTACACAGAGAGGAAAGGTGGCTGTTGGGATAACAAAGTGCCAGAGTCTCATCCTGAGGTCAGATTATTGTAGGATTTCTAGCAGGCACAGACCTAATAAGGCACTTTATTGAGTACAATGAGACTCATAAGATAGTAGTCTCTTCTTCTTCAATACATGGTGTGTGCATTGAGTCCAATGATTAGTCAGTTTGCAGTCTAGACTGTTAGCTCATGATGACCTTATTACTGATACTTTCCTGTAGTTTATTAAGTTATTATGTGACCCATGACATTCTGATGGTATTTTGGATTTCAGAACCTGAGCTTAGCATGCAGGCAAGATGATGGGGGCTGGGTGTGGCTGGGCATTACCTGAGGCTCCACGTCCAGTATTGCAATCAGCCCCTGCTCGTGGATCTTCCGTATGGTCTCCAGTTTTGTCCCATACATCGCATCCTCATGGCTGCCATACTCCAAGTATTCATTATTAGAGATGTCTTGCATCATTTGGTCATGAGATACAAAGTAATAATTCTTTCCATTTTCTTCATCTTTCTTTGGAGGTCTGGTTGTATCTGCAAAGTCACATGTCAAGAGAGGTTTAAAAGGCTGAGCTTATGAGCCTATGTTCCCAATGGGCCTACCCAAACCCAATCTCTTCTTAAAAGCTACAGATTCTTTAGTATATGTCTCATGCCCTGTTCCCACTTCCAGTAGCTCCATGGAAGTAAGCTGTGGAAGTCATATCTATCTGTGTGACATCAGACCACAGGAGCTCATTAGTTGTTTGGTTTGGCGAATCTTTCAGTGTTTAGATAAGATCTATTTCGTTCCTTCAGGAGTCACTGCAAGAAAAAGACACTAAATAACCCAAGATTAACATAACTCGCTGTATACCTTAATGCAATTAGACAGAAGGAAAAAAGAAAACTTAAAAAAAAAGAAAAGGAAAACCACATATGGTTATTTAAATTTAAATAAATTAAAATTAAAATTTCAGTTCCTCTCACTGGCCATATTTCCAGGGTTCAGTAGCCACATGTGGCTAATGGCTACTGTACTGGACAGTGCAGATACTGAACACTGTCAGTATCAGAGAAATTTCTATTGAATAGTGTATGTCTACAGCATCTTGCAAAAGGATAATGTTAGAATACAGAAAAAGGCATACCATATTAAAAACAAAATGTCTGCCAGATGTGGCCATAATAGTTCAGAAAGAGCTAAACTAGGAGTTGGCCTGCTGTCTGTTTTTATAAATAAAGTTTTATTGGAATACAGCCATGCCCATTTGTTTACATATTGTCTATGGCTAGTTTCATGCTCCAGTGGCAGAGTTGAGTAGTTGTGAGAGAGACCATATAGCCCTCAAAGCCTCACATATTTACTATCTGGTCCTTTACAAAAAAGGTTTGCTGATCCCGACCTAAGAAAGTGTAGACTAAAATATCTGCCAGCAAGTCCTAGTTCTGTGGGATACTAATAAGATCAGTATTCTGCAAAACGTACTTCAGGAAATTTTTTCTAGAGAAGTCAGAAACATTGGTTTTAACATTCTTTTCTCCCACCTCTTTTCTTTTCCCTCTCTTTCCTTCTTTCTTCTCTTCTCTTTCTCCTCTCTCCTTCTTTTCTCCCTCCTTCTTTCCTCCCTCACTATCATCCTTCCCTTCCTCTCTCCCGCTCTTTCCTTCCTTTCTCCCTTCCTCTTTTCTCTCAGTTTCCTTTTTTCCTTATTGCTTCCCTCCTTCCTTGAGCAGCAAGGATAAATTTGTGCTACTCTTTGCTGTGCATGAGTCCAAATCCACGGGAAATTCCCCTTATTCTGCCCCAATTAGACTATTAGACTATTAGAACTGCCAAGTGCTCATGGAAATCAAAATGTGGATATTTAAAAAAAGGACCCTTTCTCTAGGCACATGAAAGGCTAAAGAAATGGCATACTATGTGGAAGCTATCTTCTACCATCTATGTGGACACTATCTTCAGTCATCTTGGTATGTAAACATATGATTTATATACACCTGGGGACAAATATTTGAGATTAGACATGACTGAGGTCAGCAACTATATGCTTTAAAACCGAGCTACTTAATATACATTTAATAACATGGAAATTCAATTGTTACGTGATTGAGAAGCAACTAAATGTTAGCTAAACTTGCTGTACTCATGATCTAGACATAAGAAGAATTAAAAGGACATTTCTTAGTGTTTTATTAGAAAACTCCAGTGGCACCAGTTGAAATAATATTTGATGAATTTCTTTTTTTGTGTAAATCAGACAGTGTTCTAGGATGAGGGTGGTCTTATGAAGCCTCATGGCTTTCTGGGGTGTAAAGAAAACAGTAAGTGGTATTGACATGGCTTCAGGAAGGCATGGAAGGCTCTACGGGACTGAACAAATCTTCACATTTTCTCCTGATGCTCTTAAAACTCATTCTCTTTTAATTCTTCTCACCCAGAACAAACCTCTAACTGCTGGGAAGCTTTGGGATTCAAAATTTAAACTCTGTACTAGTAATAATAACAAAATGATAGTGATGAGATTTATCTAGTATCTGCTAAGTACTTCAAATAATCTCAAATTCTCTTTATATCTCTAGAATTACTTCATTTTTATGGTTGAGGAAACAAAGAGGGCAAGAAGTTAAGGATAAGACAGAAAATAAGGGGAATAAAAATATTACGGATTTAAAGTTTTTTATAATAAAGAATTAATAGCACATTGACTGTATTTTAGAAGTGATAAAAGTCATCAATTTAAGTATTGAGTAAGGAAAACACTGTTACATCAAAGAAAACGATTCTATCATTAAAACTTATTTTTCTGAAGAATAATTCATCTGGGTAATGTTTGTAACATACTGTTGGAAAAATTAGGTTACAAACAGAATGGACGAGCCCAATTTTGTTCAAAAACAACAACAATGACAAATACACAGTGCACAAATATGTTTGAAAGGGTATACAATAAAATATAAGTTTGAAAGGGTATACAATAAAATATCTATAGCACTATTACTGAGGGAGTAGGGTTGGCATTATTAACTTATTTTCTTCTTTGTTCTTTTTTTGGATTTTCAGAATTTCCTATAATGAACAGTTATTACTTATGTAATCAGAAAAAAAGTAAATTGCAGTATTAAAAAAGTACTAGAAAAAAGATAATTAAAAGAGAGTAAGACATGACTTACGTGGAATAGGGTATGCAAATCGGTCTGGGTGCTTTGTGATGAGGGTATTTTTTATGTGTCTTCTCCCAACACCATGTGCACCTATGTCATTTTTAAAAAAGGGAGTTAAAATTGACAACTGTTAATAATATTCACAAAATGTTTTGAAGATGAGAATAAGAAAGTCACACAGTCGAACTTACCTAATAAGACTAGTGTTTTCCTTTTGAATGCTGGCAGTTTTACTACTTCTTCATATGTAACAAGATCTAATTGATCAAACACTAAAATGCAAAGATTTAGGAAAAGGTAAATTTACAGAAGGAATATTTCATGTATGCAAATTATAATTTTACCGGCAAAACTAAAGTAATAGTAAAAGCATGTCTTAAAAAAATATAAATCCAACTTATAGTATGTTTAAGTCATATAATCTTTCAGGAGAAAATTTCATTTTTAAGCCCATGAAAATGCACTTTAGACCGGGGCATCCAAAGATACATTGAGCACATGCATAAAAGTCCAATTCTAAAAGATACTGCATATCTTTTCATGCAGTATACAACAAATCATATGAATTCATTCAAAACCACATGCTGTTTAGAGTTTTGCGATTCTAAAAAATTGGCAATACTAAAAAAGAAAAACATCTGCAGACAGTGACCAACATGAATATAGCATGAATGCAACTATAAAGTTAACCAAGAAAGAGGCCAGCTAGATTATTTCTAGGGATGGATGAGAGATGCATGGACAGCTTCTCTTTAACTTCAACTTTCAACAGAGTTGCCTAAGGTAGCATGCTAGATTCTTTCAAAGTCAAGTTCTGTAACTATGATTTCATAAGCTTTAGAAATGAGCATCTCACAAGTTCTACTGTAACTCAGCTATTTATTCGATGGAAGATCTTGGGAATGTAGGGGAACATGCTTCCCTGGGCCCCAAACTCTGTTAGTCTGTGTGTAGTAAATCAGGATCAACAGAATGGAAAGAAACATGAAGCAGAGCCTGAGCTTGGAAACCTTTGCAAAAGGGAGTTCTCTAATCATCATAGACTGAGAAGAAATACTTTAAAGATATCTTTTGGAAACCTGCC